TGTAACCAAGAGGTTGCTGGTTTGATTCCTGGGCAGTTCACATGCCCATGTTGTGGGCCCAATCCGCAGTGAAGGGCATGCAGGAGGCAGCCAATTGATCTTCTGTCTCATTGATTATTTTTAAAATTTTTGTTACAGAATTTTCTCCTTTTTCTCTTATTTACACTCTACTCCCAATGTCCCCACCCCATCCCGTCCTTAGCATTTTTGCCTATGTCCATTGGTTATGCATATAAGTTCTGTGGTTTGTCTCTTCCCTACTACCCCCCTCTGAGGTTTGTCAGTCTGCACCCTACTTTTATGTCTCTGGGTCTATTTTGTTCATCAGTTTGTTTTGTTCATTATGTTTCACAAATAAGTGAGATCATATGACATCTGTCTTTCTCTGACTGGCTTGTTTTGCTTAGGATAATACTCTCCAGGTCCCTCCATATAATCTCAAAGGATAAGAGATCTTTCTTTCTTACAGATGCATAGTATTCCATTGTGTATATGTATCACAGCTTTTTTTAATCCACTCATCTATTGATGGATACTTGGGCTGTTTCCAGATCTTAGCTATTGTAAATAGTGCTGCTATGAACATGGGGGTACATATATTCTTTCTGATTAGTGTTTTAGGCTTAGAGTATATTCCTAGAAGTGGGATCACTGGGTCAAATGGAAGTTCAATTTTTAATTTTTTGAGGTAACACCATATTGTTTTCCATAGTGGCTGCACCAGTCTGCATTCCCATCAGCAGTGTACTAGAGTCCCCTTTTCTCCACATCCTTGCTAGCACTTGTCATTTGATGACTTGTTAATGCTAGCCATTCTGACAGGTTTGAGGTAATACCTCACTGTTGTTTTAATTTGCATCTCTCTGATGATTAGTGACATTAAGCATTTTTTCATATGTCTCTTGGCCATTTGTATGTTCTGTTTGGAGAGGTGCCTCTGCCCATTTTTTAATTGGGTTGTTTTTCTTCCTTTTGTTGAGTTATGTGAGTACTCTATATATTTTGGAAATTAACCCGTTATTTGATGTATCATTGGCAATTATACTCTCCCATATAGTGGGTTCCTGTTCCATTTTGATGGTTGCTTTTTTTTGCTGTGCAGAAGCTTTTTAGTTTGATGTAGTCCCATGTGTTTATTTTTTACTTTGGTTCTCTTGCTTTAGGTGTTGTATCAGTGAAAATTCTGCTGCATGTGATGTCTGAAATTTTGTTGCCTACATTTTCTTCTAGGATTTATATGGATTCATGGGTCACATTTAAGTCTTTTATTCATTTTGAGTTTATTCTTGTGTATGGTGTAAGTTGGTGGTCTAGCTTAATTTTTTGCTTGTAGCTGTTCATTTTTCTCAATACCATTTATTGAAGAGGCTGTTCTTACTCTACTGTATGCTCTTGCCGCCTTTGTCAAATATTAATTGAGCATATTGTCTTGGGCCAACTTATGGGTTCTCTCTTCTATTCTGCTTATCTATCTGCTTGTTCTTTTGCCAATACCAGGCTGTTTTGATTATAATGGCTTTGTAGTGTCACCTGATATTTGGTATTCTGATTCCTCTTACTTTGTTCTTCTTTTTCAAGATTTCTGTGGCTATTTGGGGTCTGTTTTGGTTCCATATAAACTTTTGAAGTATTTGTTCTAGTTCTGTGAAATACATTGTTGGTATTTCATTGAATCTATAGATTGCTTTGGGTAGTATGGACATTTTAATGTTAATTCTCATCAATGTTTTTATCTGTCTCTTCCTCACTCTTCTCTCTCTCTAAAATAAAAAAAAAGGGAAATAAGATTGTTCAATCTTTAGCCACACTCACCAAGAAACAAAGAGGACCCAAATTAATAAAATCAGAATTGAAAGAGGTCAAATAACAACTGACACCAGAGAAATACAAAGTAGTTTAAGAAAATAGTATGAACAATTATATGCCTACAAATTGGACAACCTAGGCAAAATGGACACATTCCTAGAATCACACAGTTTTCTAAAACTCAACAAGGAAGAGCCAGAAAACCTAAACATCCCCTAATAACTGAGGAAATAGAAGCAGTAATCAATAAACTCCTAGCAAACAAAAGCCCTTGTCTGGACAGCTTCACAGTGGAGTTTATTAAACATTCAAAGAAGAACTAACACTTATGCTCCTCAAATTTTTCCAAAAAATTGAAAAAGAAGGAAAACTTCCTTCTTTTTATGAGGCCAGCATAATTCTAATCCCCAAAAGAGATAAAGACACTACATAGAAAGAAAATGACAGAGTAGTATTCCTGATGAACATAGATATCAAAATTCTCAACAGAATTTTAGCAAATCAAATCAATTAACATATTAAAAAATTATACACCATGACCAAGTGGAATATATGTCAGGGATGTAAGGATGGTACAGTATTAGCAAATCAATAAGTGTGATACATCACATAAATGAAAGTAAAGATACATATCTATAATTGTATCAATAGATGCTGAAAAAGCTTTTGACAAAATCCAGCACCCATTTTTTAAAATTAATTAATTTTTTATTTATTAATCTCTTTTTGTTACAGATGTTTCTCATTTTTCCCTCATTGACACCCTCCTCTCCTCCCCCCCAACCCCATCCCCAGTTTTGTTGTTTATGTTCATTGGTCATGCATACATGCATGTAAGTTCTGTGGTTTATCTCCTCCCAACCCCCCCTCCTCTGAGGCTTGTCAGTCTATACGCCACCTCTACGTCTCTGGGTTAATTTTGTTCAGCAGTTTGTTCAGTTCATTATATTCCACAAATAAGTGAGATTATGTGATATTTTTCTTTCCCTGCTTGGCTTGTTTTGCTTAGCATAATACTCTTCCAGGTCCTTCCATGCCATCTCAGAGGATAAGAGATCTTTCTTTCTTATAGCTGCATAGTATTCCATTGTGTACACATACCACAGCTTTTTTATCCACTCATCTACTGATGGAAACTTGGGTTGTTTCTAGATCTTAGCTATTGTAAATAGCACTGCTATGAACATACTGGTACATATATTCTTTCTGATTGGTGTTTCAGGTTTCTTAGGGTATATTCCTAGAAGTAGGATCACTGGGTCAAATGGCAGTTCAATTTTTAACTTTTTGAGGTAACACCATAGTGTTTTCCACAGTGGCTACATTCCCACCAGCAATGTACTAGAGTCTCCTTTTCTCCACACCCTCACCAACACTTGTTTGATGATTTGTTGATGGTGGCCATTCTGACAGGTGCGAGGTGATACCTCATAGTTGTTTTAATTTGCATCTCTCTGATAATTAGTGATGTTGAGCATTTGTTCATATGTCTCTTCGTCATTTGTATGTGCTTTTTAAAGAGGTGTCTGTTTAGGTCCTCTGCCCATTTTTTTAATTGGGTTCTTTTTCTTTCTTTTGTTGAGTTATATGAGTACTGTATATATTTTGGAAATTAACCCCTTATCTGATGCATCATTGGCGATTATGGTCTGCCATATAGTGGGATCCCTTTCTGTTTTGATGGTTGCTTCTTTTGCCAAGCAGAAGCTTTTTAGTTTGACATAGTCCCATGTTTTCATTTTTCCTTTGTTTCCCTTGCCATAGGTGTTGTATCAGTGAAAATTCTGCTGTGTGTGATGTCTGAAATTTTGTTGCCTACATATTCTTCTAGAATTTTTATGGATTCACGAGTTACATTTAAGTTTTTTTATCCATTTTGAGTTAATTCTCATGTATGGTGTAAGTTGGTGTTCTAGCTTCATTTTTTTGCAATTAGCTGTCCAATTTTCCCAACACCATTTATTGAAGAGACTGTCTTGATTCCACTGTATGCTCTTTCAGCTTTGTCAAATATTAATTGAGCATATTGTCTTGGGTCAATTTCTGTGTTTTTTATTCTGTTCCATTGATCTATCTGTCTGTTCTTGTCCAGCACCCATTTTTGATAAAAAAGAAAACTCTTAGCAAAGTAGGAGTAGAAGGATTATACCTGATCATAATAAAGGCCATATATGAAAAAACTATGGCCAATATCATACTCAATGGGCAAAACTAAAAGCACTTTCCTTAAGAACAGGAACAAGATGGGGATTTTCACTTTCACAACTTTTATTCAACATAGTATTGGAAGTCTTAGTCACAGAAGTAAGACAAGAAGAAAAAATAAAAGGCATCCAAATTGGAAAGGAGGAAGTGAAATTGTCGTTATTCACAGATGACATGATATTGTACATAGAAAACCCTAAAGACTCCACCAAATAAACTGCTATATTTAATATATAAATTTGGCAAAGTAGCAGGATACAAAATTAATATCCAGAAATTAATAGCATTTTTATACCTCATAATCAAACACACAGAAAGGGAAACTAAAAACACAATCCAATTTACCATTGCAAAAATAAAAATTAAAATACCTTGGAATAAACTTAACCAAGGAGGTAAAAGGCCTGTTGTCAGAAAACTACAGGACTTTGAAAAAAAAAAATTGAGGAAGATATAAAAAATGTGGAAGCAAATGTGTATGGATTAGATGTCCATACTTCTCAAAGCAATAAACAGATTCAATGTAATCCCTATTAAGACATCAATGACATATTCCATAGATTGAGAAGAAATACTTTAAAAGTTTATATGGAACAACAACAACAAAAAAACACAAAAGAAAACCCAACCCCAAATAGCCTCAGCAATTTTGAGAAAGAAAAAAAAAGTTGAAGGGATCACAATTCTGGACATCAGATAGTCAAAACAGCCTGGTACTGGCACAAGAACAGGCATATAGATCAATGTAACCCAGAAATCAAACCAAGACATTATGCTCAATTAATATTTGACAAAGAAGGCAAGAGCATACAATGTAGTAAAGACAGTCTCTTCAAAAATGGTGTTGGGAAAATTGGACAGGTACATGCAAAAAAGTAAAACTAGAGCACCAACACAAGAATAAACTCAAAATGCATAAAATCTTAACTATAACGTGTGAAACTATAAAATACTAGAAGAAAGGGTAGGCAGCAAAATCTTAGACATCAGTGCTTGATTTGGCAGCGTGTATACTAGAATTGGAACAATACAGAGAAGATTAGCATGGCCCCTGAACAAGAATGACACACAAATTTGTGAAGTGTTCCATATTTATATATTTTTTATTTAAAAAAATTTTAAATTGTTTTTAATTACAGTTTACATTCAATATTATTTTGTATTTGTTTCAGTCTTTCTTTTCTTTTTTTTATTAATTAATTTTTGTTACAGATTTTCTCTTTTTTCCCCCACTGATTCCCCCCTCCCCCTCCCTCCTTTCCCTGTCCCCAGCTTTGTTGTCCATGTCCATTGTTCATGCATACATGCATATAAGTTCTGTGATTTATCTCTCCCCCACCACCCCCTCTTCTGGGGATTGTCAGTCTGTACCCCCCTTCCACGTCTCTGGGACTACCCCATTCCTCAGACTGTTATGTTCATAATATTCCACAAATAAGTGAGATCATATGATACTTGTCTTTTTCTGTTTGGCTTCTTTCACTTAGGATGATATTTTCCAGGTCCCTCCATGTAGTCTCAGAGGATAAGAGCTCTTTCTTTATTACAGCTGCGTAGTACTCCATTGTGTATATGTACCACAGCTTTTTTATCCATTCATCTACTGATGAAGTATTCCATATTTTTAAAAGAAAAAATAAATCTTAGACATCACACATAGCAAAATTCTCACTGATACATTGCCAAGGGTAAGAGAAACAAAAGGAAATTTAATACATGGGACTATATTAAAGTAAAAAACTTCTGTACAGCAAAAGAAACCAGCATCAAAATGAAAAGGGATCCCACTGTATGGGAGATCATATTTCCCAAAGATACATCAGATAAGGGGTTAATATCCAAAATATATAGAGTGCTCATACAACTCAACCAAAAGAAGACAGAAAATCCAATAAAAAAATCGGCAGAATACCTGAATAGGGACTTCTTGAAACAGGACATACAAATGGTCAAGAGACATATGAAAAAATGCACAACCTCACTAATCATCAGAAAGATGCAAATTAAAACAATATGAGGTATCACTTCACACCTGCCAAAATGATTGTCATCAACAAATCATCAAGCAGCAAGTGCTGGCAAGGGTGTGGAGTAAAGGGGACTCTAGTACACTGCTGGTGGGAATGCAGACTGGTGCAGCCACTAAAGAAAACAGTATGGTGTTTCCTCAAAAAATTAAAAATAGGACTTTTGGTCAAGATGGCAGTGTAGGTAAACATGGTACTCACCTCTTCCCACAACCACATCAAAATTACAACTAAACTACAACACAACCATCATTCAGAATCACATAAAATTGAGCTGAATAGAAGTCCTACAACTACTAAATTAAAGAAGCAGCCACCTTGAGACTGGTAGGAGGGGCAGAGGCTCAGCCGGGCTGGTCCCACACCCATGTGTGGCAGTTAAAAATCAGGAGGGATACCTCACTGTGAAGGTCCTCCCTGAGGAGTGAGGGTTTCCTGTGTCACACCAGGCACCCAGCTCAGGGTTCCACTGTCAGGAAGAGACGTTCCCATAGCTTCTGGCTGTAAAAACTAGTGGGAACTGAGGCTGAGGAAGGCTGCATCTGCCAGAGCCCCAGGAAGCTTCTCTTAAAGTGCACAAACTTATTCAGAGTTGCTTTTTCTAAGCCTGGAGGGGAGGCAACTTGATGGGCACCAGAGACATATAGAGAAGAACTGAGCTGTTTGGCTTTGGGATGAGGGCTGGAGAGGTGACTTTTTTTCTGGACAGATGTGCTGGCTGAGGCTGCTGTTTCGTTGCTGAGCTTTTCACTGGGGTGGCAGATGGCTGTCATATCTAGGACTCAGCAACATGTTTGCCCCATCCTGGTGATTCCCTGAGGCCCTGCCCCATCTAACTTTCAGGCCCATCCAAGCTGTTTCCAAAGTGTTTACCAGAGGATTGACCTATCTTGGATCCTGCTTCAGAGTTTCCTAAAATCTCTCAAATAAGCAGCATCTGGTCTCAGCAAGCCCCAAACCTCTCGATAAGTGGCCCCAGGCCAGGCACTAGAAGCAGTCAGCCTTGGTTTACAACTTGGCTTTTCCTGGGCACCTCCAAGTCCAGCACTAGAAACAACCATCTGTAGATCACTTTGTAGCTTATGCCAGGTGGCCCTGGATAAAACACAGGCAGCGGCTGACCTTGCCCCAGAGCCAGCACATCTAGTGGACAGCTTCAGACCACATCAAAACACCACTACCCAACCACTTCCACAAGTGACACACTAAGTGAGTGGACTCAGTGGGTACCAGAGCTCTACTAAAGTAAATCTTGCTCTGTGTGGTGGGCTCCTTCACAGTTGATCTTCCAAGGTAGTCAGAGGCCAGTGGTCAATGGGCACAGCCAGTTCTTGCAGCTGATCAGCTCGAATAAATCCCTCCCATTGATGTGCCAACAGAAATCAAGACTCAATTACAACAGAAGGTGTACAGTCCACACTAGGGTTGCACCTTGAGGGCCCAGCTGGGGTGATTAGGGAGGCAGTGCCACTGGATCCTAAGGACACCTACAACAATCGGCCACCCTATGAAGCCTAGGAGACATAGCAACTCTACCTAATACATAGAAACAACCATGAGGAAGCAGCCAAAATGAGGAGACAAAGAAACATGTTGCAAATGAAAGAAAAGAACAAAACTCCAGGAAAAGAATTAAACAGAATGGAGATAAACAATCAATCAGATGCAGAGTTCAAAACACTGGTTATAAGGTTGCTCAAAGAACTTACTGAGAAATTAAAGGAACTTAGTGAGACCTTCAAGGGACTTAAGGAGACCTCCAAGGAACTTAGTGAAAACAGCAACAACATAAAAAAGGACCAATCAGAAATGAAGGCTGCACTAATTGAAGTAAAAAATAATTTACAGGGAATCAATAGTAGAGTAGGTAAAGACAAAAAGCAAACCATTGATTTGGAATACAAGGAAGCAAAAAACACCCAGTCAGAACAGCAAATAGAAAAAAGAATCCAAAAAAACAAGGATAGTGTAAGGAGCCTCTGGGACAACTCAAGCATGCCAACATTCGCATCATAGGGGTGCCAGAAGGAGAAGAGACAGACCAAGAACTTGAAAACCTATTAGAAACAATGACAGAAAACTTCCCTAACTTGGTGAAGGAAACATTCATACAAGTCCAGGAAGCACAGAGAGTCCCAAACAAGATGAACCCAAAGAGGACCACACCAAGACACATCATCATCATCAAAATGCCAAAGGTTAAATACAAAGAGAGAATCTTAAAAGCCGCAAGAGAAAAGCAGTTTGTTACCTACAAAAGAGCTCCTTTGCAGGCCAGAAAGGAGTTGCAAGAGATATTCAAGGTGATAAAAAGCAACGACCTACGACCAAGATTATTCTGCAAAGCTATCATTTAGAATCAATAGACATATCAAGAGTTTCCCAGACAAGAAAAAGCTAAAGAAGTTCAGCACCACCAAACCAGTATTATATGAAATGTTGAAGGGTCTTCTTGAAGGAGGAGAAGAACAAAAATATGAACAACAAAATGGCAATTAATACATATCTAGCAACAATAGAATCTACAAACAAAATGAGCAAGCTGAACAGAAACAGACTCATAGATACTGAGAACTTTTTGTTGCTTGCCAGATGGGTGGGAGTTGGGAGGATGAGTGAAAAAGATGAAGGAATTAAGAAGTAGAAATTGGTTGTTAGACTGATGAACCTCAAAGGGAAGAGGGGAGGGAGGGCAAGATGAGATAAACCAAAGAACTTCTATGCATATAAGCATAACCAGTGGACACCAACAATAGTGTGGGGAAGCCAGGAGGGGGACAGGATTGAGGAGGGCGTCAATGGGGAAAAAAAGGAGGACATCTGTAATATATTCAACAATAAAGATGAGTTTTAAAAATTGGGGGAAATAAACAAAGTATCTTCAATTTGAAAAAAAAAAAAAAAAGCTACAGTAATTAAAATAATGTGCTACTGACACATAGACCTATAGAATAGAATCTAGAGCCCAGAAACAAACCCTCATAAACATAGTCAGGTGATTTACAACAAGGGTTCCACGGCCATTGAATGTGGAAAAACAGCTTTTTCAATAAACTATGTTGGGAAGAGTGTAAAATTGAAGGTAATGTAGGTATTTTTTCATACGTGTAAAGGCTAACAATTCCCGGGGTGATCAGGTCTGGGTGACAGGACTAATTTTTAGTAGTTTGGCCATGGAAAGAACAGTGTTTTGTTCTCTCTGGGATAGATACTTTAGATACAGATTTTCCTTCCCTTCATGCACTGCTCATGTGAAAACCACGATGCATGGACTCGTAGATGTCTTATGCACTGTCAGTGTTCCATATAGCATTGCTTCTGATAAACTCACTGCACAAGAAATGAATATGGCAGTGATCAAATGCTCATGGAATTCACTACTCTTTCCATATTCCTCACCATCCTGAAGCAGCTCACCTGATACATCAGTTTAATGGTCTTTTGGAGACAGTGTCCTTTAGGTGGCAATACCTTGCAGGGCTGGAGTGATGCTCTCCAGGAGGTTTTATATACTTTAAATCAGTGTGGCAAAAGGAGTGGTTCCATATAATGGCAGATATTTTCATAGCCAGGATTTACTGGTATAGAAATCAAGGGTGAAAATGGTAGTGGAAACACTCACCTTGCCACTATTACTCTTTGAGATCCACTAGCAGAGTTTTTGCTGCATGTTAATGTGACTTTATTATTTGCTGGTCCAGAGTTCTTAATTCCTAAGGAAGTTGGTCTTGGACCAGGAAACACTTTAATTACAATGAACTAGAAGTCAAGTTCATTGCCACCTTGGTCCCCTCATGCCTCTGAATTAACAGGCAAAGGATGAAATTTTGGTATTGGCTGAGTAATTAACCTGATTACCCAGTGGAAATTGGTTTGCTCCACATTGGAGGTAGGATAGCCTATGTCTGAAATTAAGAAAATTCCTTAAGATATGTCTTTGTAACACCATGCCCTGTGATTGAGTCAATGAAAAACTGCAAGAAACCAATCCAGGCAGAATGACTAATGGCCCAAACCCTCAGAAACGAAAGTTCTGGTTATCAAACCAGGTAAAGAACCACAACAGACG